GGCGCTGCTGGGGGTTTATGCAGCAGCACCCTGTGTATTAAGGGTCACACAGGTGTGGGTTGCTGGGGGGGGGTCACACAGTGTCGGGTAGTCTTCGTTCCTCTGGGGTCTCACAGTCTTCGCTCCTCTGGAGTTCCGCGGTAGGTGGCTGGCTGTTGTTCTTCCCGGGTCTCTTCCCGGCCCCTCTAGTGGTGGAACCCCGTCTGGCGACGGCGTTCGCCCGTCTGGCCTTATCTTTTCAATTTTGTCTTTTGTAATGTGTCTGTTCAGATGTTCACTTTCTGTTTGTGTTAGTTTTGAGAGGTTGTGCATTTCTAAGTATTTGTCCGGTTCCTCTAGGTTTTCATATTTGTTTGAGTATAGTTTTTCCATAATATCCTAATGTTAGCTTTTTAAAATTTTAGTTGGTTCTGTTGTTAGGTTGCCTGATTCATCTCTTTTCCTTCTTTTGTGAATTTTGCTAATGGTTTGTTGATTTTATTGACCTTTTCAAAGAACCAGCTCCTAGTTTTGTTGATACTTTCAATTGTTTTTCCATGTTCTGTTTCATTTATTTCTGCTCTAATTTTTATAAAGCCTGGAAGCAGGAGCGACATCCACTTCCGAAATGGCTTGCCTCCAGAAACTCTATGTACAAACAGTGCTCAGGCCTTTCATTCATAGAGTCACTATGAGTCATCTACAACTCGACGGCACTTAACAACAGTAACAATGACGACATAGAGGTGCACTGGCCTAGTGGAGAGAAAGTTATGCTACCAAGTCGAAGGTGGGTGATTTTCATCTGTGGCCCTCAGGCCTGGTTCAAATTGTTTTCCTGTCAAACATTCTTCTAGGTGGTATAGCACTGGTCTGTGTATTGCTGTACAGAGGTAATTCATGGTTGCTGTGATGCTGAACACTGGGACACTATTGTGCCAAACGTGGTAATGGTTACCCATGGTTGACCATGTTGCTGGAGCTCCCTGACTAAAACAAACCTGGAAGCACGAGCGGCATCCACTTCCAAAATGGCTTGCCTCTGGAAACTCTACGTATGAACAGTGCTCAGGCCTTTCGTTCATAGGGTCACTATGAGTCATGTACGACTCAACGGCACCTAACTACAACAACAACAACAACAATGATTTTTATAATTTCAGGGTTTTTTAGAGGGTGTTGGGTTTTCTTGTTGTTCTTTTTCAATTTGCTGAAGATGTTGAGTTAGAGAGTCAATGATCAGTTTTTCCTGCCTTTTGATCTGCTTGCTTATTGCTATAAATTGACCTCTAATTACTGCTTTGGCTGTTTCCCAGAAGTTTTGGTAAATGGTATTTTCATTGTCATTTGTTTCAAAACACATTTTAATTTCCTTTTTTATATCTTCTAGTACCCAGTCATGTTCAAGCAATGTGTTCTTCAGCTTCCAAATTACGGTTTTTCCTTACTTTAATTTCGTATTATTAATTATTGATTTTGTAGCATTATGGTCTGAAAAGATGCTTTGCATTATTTCTACGTTTTTTAATTTATTGATGCTTGCCTTGTGACCTAGAATGTGTTCTATTCTGGAGAATGTTCCATGTACATTGGAGAGGAAGGTATACTGTGCTTTTTTGGGGTGCTTTAGCCTAAAAATATCTATGTGGTCAATTTGTTTTATTGTGTAGTTTAATTCTTCAGTGTATTTGTTGAGTTTCCTTCTGGCAGTTCTATCTTTTCTTAATAGGGGTGTATTGAAGTCTCGAACTACTATAGTAGCGTTGTCTACTTCCTTTTTTAGTTTTGTCAGTGTTTGTTTTATGTATTTTTCAGGTCTTTCATTTGGTGCATAGATATTTATTATTGTTATGTCCTCTTGTTCTATTGACCCTGTCAGCATCCTTGTCCTTTGTGATGGTTTTTACATTGATATTTATTTTTACCAGAGATTAATATTGCTTATCCTGCTTTTTTCTGGTTGCCATTTGCTTGTTATCTTTTCCCCCACCCTTTTATTTTTAGTCTGTCTTTATCTTGATTTTTCAGTTGTGTCTCTTGTAGACAACATATGTATGGATTTTTGTTTTTTATCTAATCTGCTACTCTATTTCTCATCAGTGATATAGTTAAACTATTCACATTCAGTGTGATTATTGAGAGGCAAGGTTTTATTGATATCATTGTGTTCTTTTTGGATTTGCTGCTAGTTACATTGGTCCATGATGCTTTCTGTGGCACCTCTGTAAGAAGAACATCTCTGAGTCTTTCCTGTAATGCTGGTCTTGTTTTTACAAACTCTCTTAGGTTCTGTTTTTCTGGGAATAACTTGTTCTCTCCTTCATATTTTATCGATAATTTTGCTGGGTACAGTATTCTTGGTTGACAGTTGTGTTCTTTGAGTGATTGATATATGCCCTTTCTTTCTCTTCTTGCTTGCATGGTTTCTTCTGAGAAATCGGCACTTAATCTTATCTGCTCTCCCTTATAGGTTACTCTTTGTTTCTCCCTTACTGCTTTCAGGATTCTCTCCTTATCTTTGGTTCTGGCAAATTTAACTATGATATGCCTTGGTATTTTTCTTTTGGGGTCCATTCTATATGGTGTTTGCTCAGCTTCTCGAATATATATTCTCTCATTATTCATTATGGCTGAGACGTTTTCCTCTAGTAATTCTTCCACAACTTTTTCAGTGCCTTTACTTGCTTCTTTCTGTTCTGGGATTCCAGTGATGCACCTTTTATTTCTCTTGATGGTGTCCCACATTATTCTTAGATTTTCTTCTTTTCCCTTCTTTTTTGAGTCTGCTTTTTGCTCTAGCAGATCTGTAGTGACAATTCTGTCGTCTATTTCACTGGTTCCATCTCTTCAACTCTGCTCATGTGTTCCTCCATCATGTTGAGAGCATCTGAAACATTGGACCTCATATTTTGTATAGTGGCTTCTTGTTTTTCCAGTGCCACTTATTCATCATTTGTTTTTCTGCATTGTTATGGATTGTTTTTTTAGTTCCTCCTGGTGTTTTGCTGTAGCATTCTGTAATTCTTCAAGTTTTTCTTTCATCCATTGAAAATATTCAATCGTTGTTTTAAATTCTGTGTCAGAAAGTTCCATCAGAGTCTCTGGCTTCATGAAACCCCTTGATACTGTGCCACCCTTTGGGAGGTCACATCTTGCTTTGCGCTTGTGTAGTGTTTTGGATTGTTTGCTTTCTTCGAGACATTGATATGTTCTTCATTTGAAGACAATGCTCTAGAGATCAGTTTGGCAGCTACTCCACTTGTGTTTTTCTCTGAACTTCTAACTGCAGGGAAATGTCAGTTCAGAGCCTGTGAGAGCAGCCTCTTGTAGGTAAGACAGGTCAAGTTGATTGACCAGATGTGTAGGCACAGGTGTGGAGACAAATGGGGTGTGACATGCATGTGGGGTGGTGCCATCACAAGAGCAGGTCAACATCAGCTGTCTGGGTGTGCTTATGAATGGGGTTTCTATTAAAATTCCAGCTGTCTGTCTTTCACCCAGTCATTTTCATGCAGCAGTCCCTGCCCAGAGGCACTTACACAGGTGCCCTTGCACAGCAACCCCTGCCCAAGCAGAGTCCTGGGTCTGATGGGACCCAGGAAGTCAAAGTCAAATTCTCACCCACCCACTCACCACTGGCTGGTCTGCAGTGTCCACAAAAGTTCAGATAAATTACCACTGACCCACTCATTTGTTTTTTT